TTCAGACGATACAGCAATTCAATCTAGATGGCTAGTTAAGATAGGTAATACTAGTTATGATTTGTAATCCTAGCAATGTGATTGGTAATACTGTTTTCTATAACACTTAGGAGACTGTGAATAATATAACTAATTATTTAGATAATTACACTTTGGTGCACCAGCATAATTATCCAAAACTGGCTTCCTTTAAAATGTATTCCCAATGGATTGAAATATTAACGTTGAAGAGGAAAATAAATGAAAAGAATAAATAAATAACATAACAGTAAAACTAACGGAGGCATGAATTTGTCTTCCCCCCTGGGATGACTATTTGTCACAACCCATTTGGAATTGAAGGACAATATAGTCACAATAATTTATTCAGAGTTATAAATTAAATTAACAGGAAACATGTACTACTTTTCAATTGACTCTCAATAATCTCAGCAGCCATTTATCAATAATTCATGCTTATATAATACATTGCATACATATGAATTCATTCAATCACAATTTGTAGTAGTGATATCAATCAGTTTTTACACATATCGGTGTGAATAAAGCTACGTTCAATTTGTAAATGTAATTTGATGAGTTATGTTATTTCTTTAACGGATCAAGGACAATAAAATCAAGGTCAAGTATGAGAAGTGCCCATTGTGTTAAGAACACATTTCAATGCTGTTTGCCAACTGTGATGCTTATTTGATGCAATTGTGATATTTTTGTAAAATCTTCAAGTATCATCTGAGGGAGCTTTACAGTAAAAAATATATTTATACATTATGACGACAAATATAGATGATACACTTTTGTGTAACCGAAAAAATATTCACCTCACTGTTTTTTCTTTTTTCTTTACCTAATACAATTTCCATATTATAGTCATTTATTTATAAAGTCTTCGGTACCATAGTATTTGGAGACAAATCTCACCCCAGGTAAATTCTTTGTTGTCCAATCAGGCTGCTCTCCTTGTGAAGAATGTAACAGTTCGTGCATGCAATATATTTATTAAATATTTCGTATGTATTTAAAAGCTTATAAGCCTAACAGGGAGGGCAAAATACTCGGAAATCAATTAAACTTTGGATTCCTGACATAAATTTTATCAAAATTTAAACAATAAAGAATGTAGTGCTATTAGGATTGGTCAACATTGCATATTTTGGAAATAATTAAATGAAAACTGAAAAAAGTTGCTTGCTACTGAAAAACAAGTGGTTGACTTTACAAACAAGTAGTATACCTTTTTCCATATAGGCACAGATGATTTCAAAGAGTCAATGCAATAATGAACAGCTTCCACTGACTCCTTTCTGTGGACAGAGGATACTGCAATGATCACACTGGCATCCATAACAGGAACAATTCTGAAAGAAATAAAACATGTCAGAGATATGACACATGAATAACACTTGTTAAAACAAAATAGTAAGCCAATTTGAATCTGATCTGAAAGACAAAATGACAAACATCAAGATTTCATTATGTTTATTATACATATATACCAAGTTTGAACAAAAAACGACATGGTTCCAAAATGGCAGTAATACATGTGCGTATGGGTGACATGACACAAATGTGTGTGAGTGTAAAGTTAGAACATAATTGTCAGATCTAGAGATACAAATGAATACACCATTATATCTGTATATCTATGAGATGATGTATAATGAGTATTTAAAATTTGAACATAATCAGTCAAATCATGTCAGAGATATGACACTAGAACCACATTCATTTAAAGAAAATGGCTGCCAGTCGGCCATTTTGAAACTTATTTAATAGCCAAGGTGGTAGGTCAAAAGTAAATGACTAATAGACAAGGTGCTAGGTGCTAAGAGTTGAATAATGGCCAAGGATCATGATCACGATGAGATGACTAATAGCAAATGTATGAGTGTTAGGTCAAAAATAGATAAAGTATACTGTAGAATACTTTATTTTCGCTTGGAATTAATTTTCGCTATTTTCGCTGAAGGGATGATTCCATGAAAATAAAATCCAGCGAAAATTTTCTTAACTATTTTGGTTTTTGGATGATTAACTTACATAAATTTTTCTTCTCAAACTAACTTTAAATTACAGACTGTTTGAGGTAAATGCATGTATACTGGAGTTTTTATGGAGGTTACTAATGGGTTCAAAACTCTTGTCTACAATTATAACTCACACTTTTGTGGTTATAATCTTCTTCAACCTCATGACATTTTCAAGATTCCAGACACATCAGTGTAGTTCTAACTGTAGACACAACACAAGTGTACAATTACCTTAAAAACAAAATGGACTACCTGCACAGAACACAAGCATATTTTCCCAAAACATTATTCTGTAGAATTTCAAATTTACCAGCATTTAAATAGGAATCTCATTACTAATTTACATGAATCCTAGCAAAATGCAGGATAGCAAAATTATTGTCATATTGATTTTGAGACCATTTTGACACACAGGTAGAGGGAATAAGATTAATACAGCAACTGCTACAGTATACACATATATTGAGACATTGTGACTACCCAACTGTTTTGCTGATACTGGACATTATTGTATCGATAACGCTGACATTATTGAATTTTGTCAAAATCTAATATACATATATGAAGTACAGCTTCATCCAAACCATAAACATAAACCACAATTAGTTTTCATTCTGGTTCAAAGGAATTTATCATGAACAGAATTATAATTGAATCATCTAAGGCATAGACAGGAAGTATTAGCACTGATGATTAGTTAGTGTCTGCACTAACACACTGAAGAAGAGTAATTTCATGAATGGACACAAAGATTAACATTTCATGTCAATTTCAACAATTTATTTTACCTCAGGGTATGATTAATAAAGACTGGATATTTCTGGGTTTAAAAAAACACAGATGACTTATCTACCTTTCCTAAGCGAACTTCAACTAAGGTTTATATTTTTCTTTATCCAGTCTCATGTGATTTGTGCTCACATTTTATCATGCAAATGTCAATAATAATGCTTGCTAATATTCAGATCATGAGTTGTCTGTAAGTATGTACATGAAATAGATCTAAGAAAGCCATTCAAGGAGGGAGAGAATAAATATTCTAATGTTATTTGGAATCAGTAACCTAGGTTATATTGTTATCACAATCTGTGTGAATTAAACTTTAGGATGCATGCAAAATCTCTGACCACGCACTTTTCTGGAATTGGCAGAAATGCTTGTTGGATTTTTAACATTTAAATTGCAGTAATTAGGCAATCTTGAACCAAAATGTCAAACATGTGCACACAAATATATGAATACATACATGGTATCAACACACATAAATATATGAATTAGTTGCAGTAGCAGGTTGAAATAAAAACATGCATTAATGTTACTTCAAAATCAGGGAGTATCAAGAGATTTATGCAAAACACCTAAAACATAAATGGATCTGAAATTGTTTGTTTTCACATTGGTCCCAGGTGGTGCAGTAATATGACTGAGCAGAAATGATAAAATGCCAACAACTAATTGATTCATCAGTCATATTTAATTGAAATTGTTATTGCGATTTGATTGAATGGTTACAATTATATTTCAATATTTCTGATAATGATTGAAATAAGGATATTAATGTACGGCAATAAAACAAAACATTTATTTGATGCAATGTGATGACTTCTTGAATTACAAAGATTATGCAAATTGTAATGTCAACGAATACAAGGATTATGCAAATTATGAATTCTAGAAGTACACAGATTATGCAAATTATGAACTTACTAAGATAGCAAAGTTAAAGTGTAGGTCAAGGTGACAAAAATTGTGGGCTGTATAGATCATAATAACCATTTCCAACAGCTTTGTATCCATGTTATTTTTTTCTCATTATTCTTGTGGTTGTTGGTGACTTTTAAACATGTCCTGAATTAGTCCATGGACGCCGTTCATGGAGATAAGAAACAACGAACAATAGCTAAGAATTAACATACTACATCCGGGCATTTCTGTGACGTTTTAGGCTAGGTTCAGTTGAGGGACAGCTATAGTGAGTTCATTGAGTACTGCAGTGTGTGGTCTATATTTTTGAAGAGCGTTGTCGATTTACATACTTTTTGTGCTGTGACAGGCTTTAAAAATATTCAATGAAAAACATCGTTATATTTTGACAAACGGCTGG